CCTCGGTACCAAAAAAAAAAAAAATATATATATATATATATATATATATATATATATATACACAAAGTTAAAAGAGTGAAGTTTTAGCTGGGCAGCTCACAAATGCCTGTAATCCCAGCACTGGGGAGGGTCAGACAGGAGGATCACTAGGCGTTCCAGGCCCGCCTTACCTACCTAGAGAGTCCAAGACCAGCCTGAATTACATGTCTCAAAAAACAAACAAAAAAATTAAATTTGATTCAGTTTTTACAAAAACTAATGTCTGTCTTGAAAGGATATAACAGATGTTCCACTTTGCTTCTACATTCAATCTGTGAAATGATTTCGTTGAATACAAAAATACCTCCTCACATATCACTGAAAAGGAAAGACTTTATTGCCACCGGGAGATTATTTCACACTGCCAAGCATGTATAAATATATTTTATCTGACAATATCAACAATTCTCTAAAAATCTGCAACACATTCAAAGAAAAAACATTACATATAACTAAAATTGGATAGCCATGCATAGTGGGGCACGCCTGTAATCCCAGCACTCAGGAGGCTGAAACCAGAACTCCACAAGCTCAAGACCAGCCTAGACTACATTGTAAGTTCAAGACCAGCCTGAATTACAGAGTCTGTCTCAAGCTAATTGAAAAAAGTTTAAAAGATGATCTGTACAGACTTAATTTAGATGATATGTTATATACTCTGCACATATATTCCTTAATAAAATTCTATATTACCATTCAATCAACTAGAAATATGACAAAAATAATCTAGAATACTTCCTGAAAAACAAAGGACATTACTATATTTTTAAAACCTCAAATAAAAATAAAGAGAAGGGATATACACTTCTTTTATTTAGAACGAGCTAAAGCGTGAAGTTCATTTAGACTCAATCTCAAACAGCACGTAGACACACTAAATTTAAAAGAAATGTCAAGACATGCTTCTGCTCTATTCTAAACAGGTTTTTTAACTGGCAATAGAAATGAAGAGGAAGAAGTGACTGACCATTCACTCATGGTGCTAAATTTCTCATACCATGTGCCAAATAAAGCTCATTATTACATGGCAAACTTTCAAAGCTGCCCTCCAGGCAGACACAACTGACAAAAAGGAATATGGAACTGCAAAATATAGAAGTAGAAGAAAATAACTTTCTGCCCTAAAAATAAAGAAAACTTTACAAATAAAACTATAAAGTCACAGAAGTTAAGGAGGCTCTAAAAGATATAAAAGTATAGGAATTAGGATTTCTTCAGCAAAGAAAATCCTTGAGGAAATTAGCATGCAGAGGGAAAAACATCAGAAGGTACTCATTTTCAATCTCTAGACGTGACAAACAAATATTTACAACAGAAAAAAAGGTTTTACAAAAGAAAAGTCCTCATCACAAATAGGAACATAGGATGTAAGGAGACAATACACAAGAAAACAAAAAAGGGGGCCCAGGATTTAGCCCACTGGTTCCGCCACCTGCCTCCCAAGCACAAGGTCCTGAGTTCGATCCCCAGTACCAAAAAAAAAAAAGCAAAAACAAAATGAGTTCATTATGAATTCATAAAATTCATCAAATTAGAAAAAGTCAGGTGTTACTTGGTTATGAGAGACAGGAATTCCTGCCCACTTGTGGTGGGAGTGTGGATGGTGTCTCTTAAGATTTTAGGTGAATACAGAGTCCATTCACCAGGAAATGTGGTTCTGAGCATCTTTGGCTTTGTCTCAAACCTGCCTCTAGGTCAGCAAGAAAGACAATGTTCCCTGTGGCATTTACATCACTGAGAGAACCAGAGAAGCCTACTTTCCCATAAGTGAGGAAAAGGCAAATAAGGTGCTATGCTGCATCTGCATGTTTTCCAAGTATGGAATCACCAGTGACTGAATCTGCTGACTTAGATGCATCTAGTCACATGAGCTACTCAATATCATGGTGCCCTAAAGGGGGCGGGGTGGGGGGAGAGCTGCCTTCTCTCTGGCTCTGCATCCCACATCCAAGCTCAGTGACTCTATGCAAATTACTCTGAGTCTGTACTCCCACACTCTTCATTTTTGACCTCCCTACTTGAGCTGCATTTCTGATGCTGCTACAGTAAAAAGCCAGAAGACAGTACACCAGTCAGTGCCCACACATTCACTGGGAGGTGTAGACACCACACCAAGGGGTGCCTTGGGCAGAAGCTCAGCGCTTTATCTCACTGTGCCATTCTCCACAGGCCAATCCCATGGGCTTCTCCAGTGTACCAGCATGAGACAGCAGTCCAGAGTGTAGGGAATTCAGCAGGCCTCAGTGGGATTTTGAGGATTGCAGTCTCCTGTCAGTTATGAAACACATAACAAAGGCTCAGTGTCACCTCTTTCCTGAGAGAGAAGTAAGTCACTGGAAAGGAGTGAAGAGCCCCAAGTCTTACAGGTGGCAGTACTGGGCAGACCTGTCTTCAGCCCATGAAGGATGAAGAAAAGGCAGCAAAAGAAATCTAAAATAAAAAACCCAGGTATTTTCTACAAAGTTAAGACAGTTAGAAGGTTTGCCAGAATCAGCATAAATTGGAACTAAAAATGGAATTATTATCTTTTTAGCATTGTTCAAGTTTGCTGTCTTTTGGTCGAAGTTAAAGTCTTGTGTCTGTTCATGGACTATATCTGTCCAATCCCTTACCCTGGTGAGGTAATCCAGACAGTATTATCACAGTGGCGCATCTATCCATAATACCGGAAAATAATAACAAATCAAATCCAGAAGCAAAACAAATCCAGAAAACAAAATCCTGATTAGACCTCCCTTATCCAAATATTACTCATGCTCTCAATGTTAGTTTCTCAGAGCATCATTAACCCTGGACTTGACACAGGAAATTGTCTGCTGAATTTCACATTCTAGAGAAAAGCACTTCAACCAGAGTTGAAAGAATGTGTCTACAGATGCTGCTTAAGTTAGCGAGAAAAAAATATCTTAATTGATCCAAAAGAAGGTAGATGTAAAAGGTATAGAAAATGCACTAAATACATCTAATCTTTGAAACATCATTGCTAATCCTTGGATCCTTTGAAACTGCTCCACATAATTTCCTTGAGTCTTAGTAAAGAAAATTTCTCTAATCAAAGCAGATTTCATAATAAAACCACAAATGTCTTCTGTACTTTAGTGAATAGGGCGCACTGTCGATCCCTGGTGATTTTCCCGTGGTAGCCTGTTGCTGACAAAGCAGTGACTCCTGCTGGTGCCCAGCATGTCGGGCAAGCATTGTACCCCACACCACTAGTGTGAAAAAAATTATGCAATTCAAATCAAAGTAGGTTTCCACTGAATTCTTATCACTTTTTCTTTCATTCTTCAGTAATGGAAATTGAATTCAGGGCCTAATGTAGATTAGACAAGTTTCTTTAGAGTGGAGATACATCTCCAGTATCTTTCTTTTATGTTTAAACAGGTTCTTGATCAGCTGTCTTGGAAGGACTTGATGATGCAACACTCCTAAGTACCTCATGTGGCTGCAGCAATGTGTGCAACGCCATGTTTTCTGCTGTTTAATTTACCCAAGCACTGTGGGGGGAATATAGCTCAGAATGAAAGTCTGCAGTCCAATCTCCTGCACAATAAACACGTCAACCACATCTTTAAATCATTTGTATCACGGAGATATCTCTTCCTGTCACACTTAGATGACATGATGGCATCTATCTAATTTTGAAGCCCACAACAAGTCCCAGAAGCTCCATAATTTTCAATGTTTCCTTAAAAACGACTAGGGTACCTGATCAGTAATAAGAGAAGACATTTTTCTAGCATTTAATGAGTGCCTCTTCCTTCATGACTGTTTTTGACCCACTTTATTACTGACCAGCACACAACCCTTCCTTTCTCTTCACAAAAACAAGGTAACCTCAGAACAAAACCGTCTCTGTTGAAGGTGTTGATTTTGGAACTCTCCAGCATCCCCTCCTCTCTCACTTTCTCTCTCCTCCTGTTTGTTCTTCCCTACACAGAAAACTTTTTTTACCCTAAACCAAACATATGCTTGCAGACTTTAACTCTGGAGCTTTATCCCTACTTCAATACATCTTAATTGCAAACTCCACTTCAATCAGCATTTCAATATTGAAAATAATGTTTACATACAGTCCAAGGGCTATAGCAAAGATGTGAGATGACACCCCTCTCCCTCTGCAGGCCTATTCAGCACAATCCTGGAGATACTCAAGTTCCAAGTGTTTCTCAGACTGTGGTGAAATTGGAGAGATTTTTAGAAATTGTCCTTCACAGGACACTTTCTGCTCCCCTTGCTAACATTAACATGTTCAAATCCCCGCGATTTTCCTCAGCATTCCAATTGCTATGGGAAGACCTCAATTCAATGGTAATTTGTGAGCAGAGGAAACACCTAAACCATTAAGTTGATAATTTTTCCATTGCTTTGTGTGTAACACAGGATTTCACCGCGTGGTTGGCAAGTGCTCCAACAGTTACATCGCCTTCAGTGGTAAACATGTCTTTGGACTTTCATGGCCTTTCTCAACAGCTATGAGGAGTTTGGCAATGTAGTGACATACTGCAAATTTAAGATGTCACCATCATCAAAACGACCTTCTGCTCGAGGAGGGAAGCTTTGAGTTTGAGATCCTGCATCAGACATTTATAAAATACAGGTCCACCAGGTGTGCTGCAGGGAGAAATGGGACTAGGAAAACAGCACACCAGAGCTCCCCCAGTTCTACCTCTCACATGAAACAGGGTCATCCACGACCCAATTTCCACTGCACACGTGGACACCTGGCTGCGGGCTGGGGCTCCCTGAGCCTACTCTATAGGCTGGTGGGATTGCTGTGGGAGACAAAATGCTGAGGACCCACAGCTGGACCAGTCCGAACCCAGAGAGTAGGGACAATGGGTGCCCAGTGCTGGAGACAGGAGGACCTCAGATTAGAGCACACGGTGAGACTCCAGTCTGTCATTGCTGGTTCCAGCCACTTCAATTCACACCCAGCCCGATCACATCCCAATTTGTACCGTCGCCATTGGGTAACTTGAGTGTTGCCGAGGGTCCTTCCCACGCAGTACAGAACCGGTAGAAGCCATGGAGCAATGAGGACAAGACAGGTCGTGCAGTTCTCAGCCAGGCGCTCAGGTTGCAGAGGTCGGCGCCATGACACCGGAAGAGCCCTACTTCCTGCTCCCCTCTGATTGGACAGGTCATAATACCCGCCTCTCGATCAGTAATTGGCTGCTGCTCGTTGCACACAGCTTGTCTCAACTCCTGTTTTAATCACTTTTCCCTCTTCCCCTTTTCCTACAGTTTCCCTTTTCCTTTCCCCTTCCTGCATCTCTTGATCCTCTTCCCAACTGAGAAAGATCGGTGTCCCTGGGCTGGGGATGGATCTAAGCATTGCCACACCTGCTTGGCAAGCACAAGGTCCTTCCTGAGTTCGATTCCCGGTAACGCCCCCCCCCCCCAAAAAACCTATGTCCCTACTTCCTACAATTTATCTTTTATTTTGCTATTTATAACTTGAGTTTCTTGTAGAAGAGATAAATTCCATTTGATCCCTCTCTTCCCTTCTAGGTATCTTCCTGAAAGAGTTAAGACATCATATGGCAATGACACATATATTATATACCCATGTTTAGAGCAGCACAATGCATAATAGCTACATCTTGGAAGCAGCCTATAAGTCCATCAACAGATGAACACATACAGAAAATGTCATATTTACATACAATGGAGTACTACATTATCTTAAAAAAGATACACTTGAGGGATGCGTAGGAAAGTGGAGACATCATAAGATCATGTTGTTAGCAGAATCACTCACTTTCTAAGTGTATTCCAGAGAAATGAATGTAGCTTTGGAATTTTCCCACCCTCACTAAACAAATAATTCTCCTCTTTCAACACACATAGTGTCAAACAGGCCTGAAGGATGCCAAAGTGTCACCAAGGTGAAATGGGTCCCATAAAATCTCATGGAATTCTTTGATTTTGACCCAGTAGGACAACAATGGAGGCAGAGCTGCACTAAACAGTGAGGTGCTTGTTGAAGGTAGAAAATGATAAGGCATGGAAATATTATTTGAGGGTATGGAAGTCCTTGGTGGAGAATTTCATGGAGTGGGTTTGACTGCAATCAGCTATGGGAGGTAAGTGAAGACGCAGGGCCGTGCTGAAACCCATGTCCACTTTGGAAAAGCAATGAGAAGGGGACTGAATCCATAGATATACTGCAGGGAGCTGATTCTGTGAGGCAAATTTGCCCTCACTCTGGGCAGATTCTATGCCTTTCCTGATGACCTTTTCAACTGTTTTTTCAATAATCTCTTTATGTCTTATGTGACAGATGTTGGGTGTGCTTCAGAGGGCTTCATGCCTTCGAGATGCAGTAGGGTGTGGTAGCATCAGAAATCTGTTTACAATAATACCTAGGTCCATGACTATTTCTGTTCACGAAAAATTTGGTTTGTGAACAGAATAGTTCAGCAAAATTTTGCTTCCATTCGCAAACTCCACATCCAGTGATGAGCAGGACTGTGGCCATCCTCCTTGGTCTGACACGCGGTCATGACTTCCTCTAGTCAAAATTATGGTCACAGACAGACCTGTGCACACTAGCTGTGAAGCTTTTGCATGTGCTTTTAAGCAATACAGTACTGTACGGTATTATTCCATCCAGCATGGCTCCACAGAAAGCTCAGGTCAAGCATGGTGGTAAGAACAGTGAAGAGAGCAAATGAAGGTTACAAGAACCTGCAGAGCGGTAATGTGGGTAACAAGGAGTGCTGGGAAAGAATGGCAAGAAAAAGGTTTTGAAGACAATATCCATTGAATTGAAGAAAGAAACTGTAGAAAAACATGAGCATGGTATTTGTGTGACCAATTTGGCCTTGAAGTACAAGATGGTGATGTTGAAAATCTTGATGGTTTTGAAGACTAAAGATACCATCCTAAGTGGTGATGTAGGGAAAGGAGTAACAATGTTAACCAAACAGAGGACACAAGAGCAGGAAGAGGATTTTTTTGTAGTGTGGTTGAATGCGAAGCAGCTGGCAGGTGGGGCTGTGATCTGTGAAAACTCGAGGAAATTGCACACTGATTTACTGCAGGAAAACCCCTCTGCAAGTGCAAGTAATAAATCCAAAGCCAATAGAGGGTGGGTTGATAAATTCTGTGAGGGATGCACAGTGTGATAAGATATGGTGAAGCTTCCATTTCTCACAAGGCCACTGCAGAAGCCTATAAGACAGAATTCACTAAATTCATGAAGCCAGAAATATACATCATTCAACAAGTGTTCAATTGCGATGAAACAGGGCTTTTTTTGGAAGAAGTTGCTGAAAAGAACCTATATGACTCAGGAGGAAAAGGCCCTGCTCAGGCACAACCCACAGAAGACACATTGACCCTTTTCCTGTGGGTGAATGCAAGAGTGAATCTGAAGATTCAGCTGCTACTGGTATATCATAACCCAGACCCCTGTGCATTCAAGGACCAGAATGTGAACAAGGCCACACTGCCTGTCACGTGTAAGGCCAGTGCCAAAGCTTGGGTCACAAGGAAATTGTTCATGGAATGGCTGCATGGTATATTTGGACTCACTATTAAGAAATATCTTTCTGACAACCAGCTGCTTGCCAGGTGCCTCCTTCTGATTGTGATGCCCCAGTACACACTTCAGCCTTGGGAGCTGATATAGATACTCATGTCAAGTTCTTCTTCCCTCCAAAATGACACTTCTTCTGCAGCCCATGGACCAGCAAATAGAAGCTGTACACAAAGGCGCTCTTCACGAGGTGTTTTAATGTCACTGAAGAGACATCCTAGACTCTGCAAGATCTCTGGAAGAATCTTTTCAATGTCCTGCACTACATCAACCTCATTGACACAGCCTGTCATACACCAGACCTTAGACTCAGCCTGCAGGAAGGTGACATGGAGACTATGTGTAGACTTAGATAGGCTTGTTCAGGATCATAAAGAGATGCTGATGACAGAAGAACTTGCTGACCCCCAGCGTGAACAGCAGAAGGCTCTTGTTGGGGAGCCACTAAAGAAGAGGAAGACAGGGCTGGGGATTTGGCTCAGTGGCATTGTGCCTGCCTCACAAGCACAAGGTCCTGAGTTTGATCCCCGGCTCTGAAGAAGAAGAAGAAAAAAAAGAAGAAGAAGAAGAAGAAGAAGAAGAAGAAGAAGAAGAAGAAGAAGAAGAGGAGGAGGAGGAGGAGGAGGAGGAGGAGGAGGAGGAGGAGGAGGAAGAGGAGGAAGAAGAGGAAGAAGAGGAGGAAGGCAGGGAGGGAGTTCACAGTGATGTGATCAAATCCATTATGGAAAAATGAAGTGAGTGCCAGGATTTCTTTGAGGAGCACCACCCCAACACAACTGTAATGAGCAGTGTTGAATCTGATGAAACATAAGTGGTCTCTCACTTCTGGAGGGGTATGCAGTGCAGGAGAAAACAAGTGACATTAGACATATTTTTTTTGGTCAAATTTGACCCTGCGACTAAGAGACAAAAACCGAGGATACCCCTGAAGCAGATCTCCAAAATAGCCATGTGGAGGAGGACTCTCATTCCAAACAATAACCTCTTCCTTACCGACCTTTTTGTCTTTCACAGAAGCTAATTCAATAAGGTTAGTGTTCTCTGTCTTCATACTATACTGTACTGTACTTAGTTTCATTTTTGGCTGGTTAAAAAAATACATAGGTTCAGAATGGTTTAACATTGACACTGAAAATCATGGAAAAATTGGATTTGGTTCAGAATCAAAATCGGTTCAGGACCATATTTGTAGGGGTTAAGTTGGATTAACCATATTTACATACCATAAATTAAGTTTGTGAACTGAAGCACCACTGTATAAGTATGGAAAGACCTCTCATTCTGTCATTTGCCTTTTACTATTTGCTTTGCAGGACCTTGAAATTAAAGGTTTTCAAACTTGGATTTTATGTTTGAGTACTTTTGTCTGATTCAGTTCATGAAGTCTTTGGTTACATTATTTTTCCAAAAAGTAAATGAACAGCCAGTTTAAGTTTCTGTCCTCTAAGAGATTGTACATTTGGATTATACATTAGCATGTAAATTGCTGGAAGCTATATTAAACCATATGGAATCCATAACCCAGCTCAACATACTCTACAGCTTCAATCCTGTGGTCTGAATGTCTGAGTTTCCCCACATTTATGTATGGGAGCATAATTTCCAAGGTGATGGAATGAGAAAGTGCTTTCTTTGGAAAGTATTGAGTTCATAAGATCAGAACCCTCCTCTTGCCTTTGCTGCCTTGTGTGTACCATGTTGTTTCTGCTCTGCCATGCCTGTTTGCCATCCCTGCCTTGGAGTCGGCTGATTTTGGACTGAGACTTCTGCACACTGTAAGCCAAATAAACCTCTTCCCCTTTAACTTTTGGTGCCAGGTATTTTGTCTCAGCAGTGTGAGAAAAGTAACTAACACAGAAATTTGGTACTGAGAGTGGGGTCACTGCTGTGACATTACCTGACCACATGGTTCAAAAGCCTTTGGAACTGGCTTGTGGGAAGGGGAAGAGTTAGGAAAGATTCAGAGATGTTGGCTACAGAAGCAGTGCTGGAAGGCCTTAGGCTGGTTCTGTATAGGAGATTCTAGTCAGAGCTCAGAAGACCAGAAAGCTTATAAAGACCAGGCTAGGGAGGCTTCTGCTAGGAAGAAGGAGTGCATTGGCTGTTGGATTCCAGATGATGTGTTATGGATTGGCAGAAAGTTTGTCTGCATTTTGCTCATGTCCAGAGACTTTGGCTGAGACTGAGGTTAGGGGTGGTGGACTAATTAATCTTGCAGAAGAAATTTCAAGGCAGTCAAATATTGAGGGTGTGGCATGGCTGCTGTTGGGGGCTTTTAGCCAGATCTATGTTGAGAATCAAGAGCAAAAAGCCCAGAAGAATGATTTAAAACATTTTGAGTTGGGCCAAAAAGGAAGCTCCAGTAAAACTGTGGACTGCAAAGATAGAGCAGAGAAGATCTTGATTGCTGAGAAGAAACAGGAGAATAGAAAAGATGGCCTGAGGGCATCACAGGAAGCAGCAGGACTCCACTCTTTTCCGCCTCAGAATTGTAAAGGTAAAAGATCTTGCTTTGAGAAGAAAGCCCCAGAGCACCATGTTCCAGAATGGTGGCAGCCTAGGG